GCCTGCACACACTGCCTGCGACACAAGCATGTGCCGCCCATTTGGGTGTCCTCATGTTATATTTCTAAACTTATATATTAAATCATGATCGTCACATCATCATCTTGAGTGGGAATCGAACCCAGAATCGCTGGCTTAGCACTCGGGAACACTAACCGCAAAACCAAAAGGCACATCAAATCTACGAGTTGTTATATGTATATTAAGTTGGTTTGTGTACGCTGCAAGAACTCAAAAAGCTCTGCACCGATTGAGCTCACATTTTGACACGATATACAAGCCGCTTTAAGGATGGTTTTATCTATGTATTATTAATTATCTACATAATTTTGTTCCTCATTTCTCATCAAAGCAATGTTAATGTGCCACAGCGAAGCGTGGCAGGGCGCAGCTAGTAATTAATAATTATCAAGCTACGTTAAATTATATTCAGCAGAACACAAAGTTAAAACCACAAACGTATGATAAAAAAACGATTGCATGTGAGAAAGTGCCTTAAATTAGTTTGTTTGTAACCATTGTCTTTTATACATTGAAATGTAAATGAAACAGCGCATACGTCAAAGGTTTAACAAAGATATTTCTTTGTTTTTTTTTCTATCATAGAGGTTATTACACTCGTCATTACTTAATAACACTATCTATACTATCTACTTACTAACTTATATTTCGAAAGATACAATAGCCATGTCAAAATTTCAAGATTCTAATTTTTTAATTTTTTAATATTATTTAGAAATTAGTGGTTATCTGGAAGCCTTTTAATAGTACACTGCTGGACTTAGGCCTCTCCTTAGAAAGGAGGTTTTGGAATACTATACCAAGCTGGCCAGACGGGTTGGTATAGGGATTGGGTCAAGTTTTCCTTCTCTTTGCAGTGGCTAATGTCGTGCGTAGTTTGCTCCCTTATTCAATCGAATGTTTAAGCGATACGGTCAATTATAGCTGCTAGGCATATCATGCTTACCTACGACTGCTGTTTTATGAAATCATGATATGTCAATTTTAAGATCTGGGGTATGTGGTCAATTATAAGCAAAAATTCAATATGACTTTCGTTTTGAGTTGTTATGATTCTGAATATTTTTAAACATTTAATTTTGACAAAAAGCTCCCTTTCCTGAATTTCTAGATTTAATGAGTGTCTTTGAAAATGGATAAGCCAAAAATAGATCCATAAACTCCAAAGTTGAAGAGGGATCAAATAACTAAAGAAGATTCTTAGAAAAGCTAAAACCTTTTAATGATGGCATGGAATTTGAGTAGAGCATAGCAAAAATATCAAATAAAATAAAGTTCATAATAACCTCAATACACAGAGTACAAACAATTTAGATAAGTTCCATGACCTGACGCGATTTTCAAAAACAGTTTTAAAAGAAATACAATATGTATGAAGCTGAGCTCGTGAGAGCCAGGCAACGTACTCAGCCCATACCATACACAATACACACATACCTAATACACAAGCCAATTTTCCTTTCTGTAATATTAGTTTGTTGTCTGTAACAAATATTTATTATAATTATAATAGTTAAGTATTTTTATCAGTTAAGTAAATATCAAGTTCAATTCTTGCGGAACGAGATTAAATTTTGCTTCTATATTTATTTCAAAATAAATAAGATTGGTGAAAAATAAAGCATATTAACTTATATTTAAGACAAGTTAACCTATATTCTTCTCAAGATAATAATAAGAAACATATACATACAATACCTACCTACAATCATAAAACAAAGATTTCACGTAAACAAAGGTAAAAACGAAACCTATGTCTAACCTACACTTATGTATTATGGACAAGTTTTTATTCAGGCGTTGCGTTGTACTTAGATAAGAGTGAACTCTTGCTGAATAATTGAGGCAACTAACTTTTTATATTTATAAACTATAAAGGTTTTAGAAGTGGCTTTCATAGACAGTCCAGATGTGCATATATAATAATAATATATTATGACTACTATGATAGCAATAAAACGTAACCTAACTAATAGCCCATTTTGCAGAAATAATGCAATTAATAATAGGGTGATGCAGAAAAAACTGAAGATACGCATATATTGGTTATAATTTGTTTATAAGTATATATTTTTTGTTTTCATGACGCAAAACATGTTTTTTTTTAGCAAGAATAATAGTATTACTATTCTATATGCATAAAAAAGAATAAAATGTCCAAAAGCGAGTGTAAACCCTAATAGGCTGCAATTTATGTCAACCTATGTTCATATTAAAAAAGATAAATGCAGTGGTTAATTATATTATCCTTGTACTATGAACTTTGTAACTATTCCATCACATGTGTCGCGAGATTCATTTTATGAATGAAATCGTTTTGTTCTCTTAACTACTAATGCGATGTTCTTTATACCTGTTTTCTTCAAAAACAGTGCAGTAAAAAATAAATGCTGCTCCAGTCTGTTTTAGAAAATCACTTTCTTTGTGTCTAACACGGGCAAGTACCTTAAATAAATACCTAGTTGAAGCCTTAAGCTTAGCTATTGGTTAGAATGTCTAAATAACAATCGCAATGTTGTTTACTATTGTTACACCCGGGCTTCTTTAATCGGAGCAGCTGTTATCATTACGTACATTTTTTTAATGACTTTCTTGACATTTACTAGGTACAACAACAATAGAGTAACAGAAACGGAACCAGGGCCTCAATTCTGCTATTTTATGTTTACGCCAAGCCACTGTCAGACCACTGACACGCTATTGAGATGCCATCGAGTGGCAATTGGCATCGGTATAAATATCGGTAGTTGAAAATATATTACGTTTTTTGAGGAAATATTTATTTATTTTTATTATAATAAATTATTAAAATTTATAAATAAATTGAAATAAATTAATAAAAAAATAAAATATATATTTAATATATTTTTTATTTTTGTTTTTTTATTTTAATATTTTTTTTATAATTTTATTTTTTTATTAATTTATTTCAATTTATTTATAAATTTTAATAATTTATTATAATAAAAATAAATAAATATTTCCTCAAAAAACGTAATATATCTTCAACTACCGATATTTATACCGATGCCAATTGCCACTCGATGGCATCTCAATAGCGTGTCAGTGGTCTGCTAGTGGCTTGGCGTAAACATAAAATAGCAGAATTGAGGCCCATTTGGTATTACCTATTTCATGTAAGTTTGAGACGGAGATTTCGATTCGCATGACGGTTGTCATCTCAAAAAGGGTGGATAGTGGGTTGTAGAATTTCATGTACAATAATTAATATGGCCTTGGATAGTGAAGGAGTGCGTATATAGATGGTAAATGACGCCATATGAAGTTAGTCGCTTACGGTATGTGTAACTTGACGAATGTAATAAAGTGCAATACAGTGCAGCGTCAACGTTACCTTCATTTCAGCGATTACTCTATAATACAATTAATAAAACGTTTATGACATCACAAGTTATTGCATTTGACTCAATACACTCATACATATGTTTTGTGTATGTGTGTGTAGGGTAGGCGCGTGTGGCGTAATAATGATGTGTCTGCTTTCCTTAAAGGGAGGAAGGCCTGATTTTACGAATACATACCTACATATATATGTACGAGTATGTATGTAATAACACATACAATACTGACCGGACCCTATGCCACTTACACCAATGGAACCTACTTAAAACGAGAGAGAGAGCTTTGTAGCGTTTTATTTAATATTTGAATTGATCGTATGTCTTTTACAAATACCACCTTATTAAGATACAGGTTCTATAAAACCTATACATTGCTTATGCAAGTCTGTGCGAGACTGAAAAGATAAGAAAAAAATGCATTTAAAACTAAGACAACCTACTTTGCAAATTTAATTTAACGATAACCACAACAGACCTGCCAGTTGGTCGGATTCCGCCTTATTTTCTTTATCTAAGTAACTGTTAGCGAAGTAAACCACTACATAGTAAGCGTCACGAATCTGAACTCAGATACTGTACCGTCTAGTTAATTTTTGTTAAAGTTTAAATACTCTCGACATTTATGTTTCTCTTTCCAGTAATTTCAGATCTGAGTCTCGTATCACACATTTTAGGCCTGGCCCATAGTAATAAACAAAACATAGAAAAAAAGACAACCGTAATTAAAGCACACACAAACACGGCAGTTATATTAGGGCACAACAAAAAAACAGGCGATAACATGCAAACGCAACGAAGCTTACTAGCAAACAAACAAGGTCTTTTAACAAGTAATATTTTCAACACGGCAACTGTACTTGAAGATAATAAATGTATAAATGATAAGATCACAGTTTCAGGGACAAAACGACCCATAAAAGCGCTCTTATTATTTTATCAAACATTGTTTGCAACTTGATATTAAATTTAAAGAAAGGAAGCATTGTATCAATTGGTCCTGTTATTATATAAGAATACAGCACGTTTTAGAGAATCTTTTACATTTAGTTCAGAAAAATCTGTTTACAGAGCCTGTATTATAAAGATGCAGAATGGCTCTTTTAGACAAGAACTATTTTCTTATTGTAGTTTTAATTGTTATTTTAGCTTACAATACGATAAAATAGTTGTGAGACATCTTTTATATACAAGGTTCTTTTTTCATTTTTCTTAACGACTTCAATGTCATTGTGTAATTAAAATTTATTTTCATTGTTTTTTGGCCTTTAAAGTTTATTATCTGTGAATAAATCTACATGTATAAAACAACGCTTAAACAAAAGACTAATGCACGCCACTTGTGGATAATTCCAATTAGGGAACTTTAAATATTTTGGGACCTTTGTAAAATAAAAAATAGAAGAATATTGTATCGATTAATTAGCTTTATGGAAGGAAAAGATTCTTGTCTTATTTATACGGCAACTCCTGTATTATAAAGCCAAGTCACTACTGTATGACGAAAAGAAAAATAGCCAAAACAAAAATAAAAACTGATTGTCACTTTAAGAGCCATTACAGAAACACGTGCAGTTGCAATGCGCTAAATACGACGTGCTTATTAAGCAGTGGACGTACATTAGAAGTGACAATGATGGCCGCTGGACCTAGCCCCATGACTAGATACAGAAGCAGCTCCAACATCTTGTATCTCTCGTGGAATATCTGCTGGTACGTGATCCCGAGCACAGCGAGCAGCCAGATCGCCCACCGGAGCTCTCGAAGCATCCAACACGACAGTGTTCCAACCGTCAGCCATGGGAAGTATGAGCTTGCGATGAATATGTAAATCATTGCTCGGTCGCATCGATGTAGGAAGTGTTTCATTTTACTGTGAAATTTAGTTTGCGTTTAGCTCATACAATTTATTAGTAGATTTATATTAGCATGGATGTAGATTAGTTTGGCATGCTTTGTTAGAGATTAGGACATTTACGAGTTACAAAAAATGTTATAGTTCCTAATGTGTGTTTTTCGTCGTCAGAAGTCGATACTAATTTGAGAAGAGTAGAGGAGCAATACTCTGTAACCCAGTTTGCGCTTATTACCTACGAAAATGTGCAGACACACTTTTGATGTTTTTCAACTTTTTTATTAGTGAGGCTTAGAGCTTAATAAGAATGGTCCCCTTCTTTAATGATTATGTTTGCCCGCCGATATAACTATATTTAAACTTATGACAGTATATATATAATATTGCTATGTAAAATATACTTATAACTTGGTATTTCAATTTTTTTATTGTCTATGTTGTTTATAAATAAGTAAATAAAAACGGCGTGAGTTAGTAGGCTCTTACGATACAAAGCTGATGAATAGGGGTGGTGACACTCTGTATTCTTAATCCGTCACCACACGGATTATGAATATAGATAAATAAATTAAATACGGCAGAATGTTGAAGACAATTTTAGGATAGGATAAGATTTTGCTAGTCTGAATATAAGAAGATGAATAAAAATGGTTAACATTTAAAAATTTAGTACACGATCTAATGATACCGCAGTAATAGGAATTACACAATAACAAGTTAATTACCTATTTCTCAGACGTGGAGAAACACATTTATTAAGTACATATCAATGGCTTTTATTACCTAACGCTATCATATTTTTTTAGTAATACTCGTACATTATTGTACTAATAGGATCTAGTATTGTGTAATTTAAATAAAGAAAAGATTTGCTGGCCTAAATTTTTCAAAATTACATACAATTATATTATTATTATTTTGTTAATATTTATATATATTTAATAATTATGGTGATAAAGTTTCGTGTCTGTACGAAGTATTGAGGAGTATAAAACTAGGACAGATGCTAAATAAGTTTGATGATATTGCTCTAAAGTTCATTACTTCAATTTCACGTTACATTAAATATACTGAAACAAAAGGTGAATGATTAGGTTGAGTAACTTACTTAATTCGATCGTGTCATCGGTCAGTGGCATAGTGACACAGAAGTGTTTGTATTACAAAGACATTAAGGGTTGTCGAGCGCCCAAAGGAAATTAAATTTGAATTACCACATCAGGTTTAACGATACCCGGTATCATTATCATTTAAACAAACTTTATCAAGCAAACAATGAGTATATTATCAAGGAAAAAAAACCGACACGGTTAAGGCGATCACAGTACTAATTATGTATAATATATTATGTATATGTTCCTGTAAAAGCCTAAATCCTAAATTTTGCCGCTAAAACTTAAGATTTACTAACGAGTTATGATAAAGGTCCGAATTTCGTGCATTTACCACCATACACTTGTGTAAATCTTAAGATTTATTACAATTACAGGATGAATGTCGATAATCAGACATGTTTCACCAACAATAAATAGGATCTGGATCTGATCTTTAATGGTCACTGCTCTAACCTAACCCAAATTTAACTTTAAAGTTCTTATTGGTTTCTTCCCAAAACCAACATTTAACAAGCGTCTTTGGTAAAACCTAGCATATACCAGTTTCTAATGGTAAAACTCCAAAAAATTGTTCCCCTTTTTATTAATACTTACATTTAACAACTGCCTTTGGTAAATATTAAGATTTATTTATTGGTAAAACTCAAGCTTTAAAGTAGTTCGGGCTTTTACAGTAACATATCCTTTTGATAAATGTATCAAAGTATTATTATATTATTGGCTTGTTCAAGAATCCATAGTTAAATTATGCTTAGTTGACGCTTTATGTGTTTCGCTCTATTCTATTCTTATTATCGTAGCTTATGTTAAATAGTATTTTAAAAATTCCTTTCAAATTAAACTATTTACAAAAAAAAAACAAATCCGACTACATTAGTACATAAATACAGGAAATGCATTATTTCGATTGATAACGGTTATCTATTGACACTAGAGATCGCTACATATAAACTATTAATGTTCCAAATATGATATACTTACGTGCGACATGTTTGTTTAACATGGGGTAAGTACAAAGCATTTTCTTCACATATTAATATATAGGTTGTTCTATTGAGTACCTTTTAAGTTTCCTTTACTCAAAATTTGCAAGCTATGTAGCGTGTATTTACATCGTCATCATTTTCCAACCCTATGTTATTTTTGGTAGATGCAATGTGTTATTGCAAAGGATCTTAAATGTTCCCTTTATTGCCAGCAGCTTGACTGATGTGCGGCAACCTACCATAGGAATGTAATCGCTTTCAGACGAGACAAGAAAAAAGGAGCACGGATAGGACAAGGAGGAACTAGGTAAGGAACACCGCAAGTCTTGGATAGGAAACAAGACCGAGTCTGCAGCAGCTCGAAAAGGTCGAATTTATGTACCCGCATGTGATTGGAGAGGCCATTAGGACAGCGACATAACTGACCTTTATAGCGATTAGTAGCAATTAAGTCAATATCCAACAATTTTATCAATTTTATAGCAGTGGTACCTGAGTTTAGACTTATGGATACTCATCAATTTGAGTGGCTAATATAGTTATAGCCACTCTCGGGAATGAGTTTGTTTTGCCGATTAGCGCACCTTTATTGCTTCTAAAATGTTATCATGATTGTTGTCTCAAATCGCCTCGCACCATTCGCATCTAACAATTTTTAAGACAAATTCCGCTATAGAAATATATCCTGTGCCTTTACGAAGAACACCCAGACTGAGAAGAATAATTTGTGGACCACACAAGTGTTGTCCCGTGTGGGAATCAAACGCACAACACTTAGCGTAGTGTGTAAGCAGGGATGTGACAGCTTAAACCACTACGCCAACCGTGCAATGAGATAAGTCAAATATAATAATAATGAGATAAGACAATATGGAGTATCTTAGATTGTTGTCAGCATTAAGATATGAGAATATTTTTTTCTTATAATCTTAAAAAAGTTATATTATGTTCGATCTCATTTGCGATCTAGCCATATGGGAGTAGGATTTTCACGGATAAGGTGCGAGTTGAGAAAAGGTGTAGGCGGATCCGAGTGAGGATTTACATGATTGAGTTTTCGGAATACAAATAACCTATTTTCACGTCTGCAGTGTTCAAAGGGAACAAATTTCATATCTAAGGCAATTCGTTTACGTTCTGAAATTCCTACTAATCCTTACTAATATTTACGAGTATAAGTGCGAAAGTAACTCTGTGTGTCTGTTACGCTTTCACGGTTAAACCGCTGAACCGATTTCAATGAATCTGGTAAGAACCGATTTTAAGGATATTTTATCGCGCAACCGACATACACGTAGGAGCCGCGGGCAAAATCTAGTCAGTTCATAAAGGTTTTAACGGACTGAAATAATTATTGTATGGAAGTATACGAGGTCGCAATATATTTCCAAATGGGCTTGGTCTCAGATACATATTGATTTCAATCACGATAAATCAACCTGTCAAGAGGGTAGACTGCCATCATGTAATGTATGCCATGCCTACAGAGCACTGTTTTAGCCCTGTACACAAATAATAGGTATCACCTATAATCAAATGTAATTAATATGTAACCTAGTACTAGTATTTCGCAAAGGTTATGTTGCATTTTACTTGTAGGTATACATAGCAACAATAAATAGCTAAGCAAGTCTAAGGCTTCATGTTTGCGTATCGCAAGGTCGAGCTCAGGAAGTTGATCGTTATACAACGGTTAGGTTATTGAGAGATTCGTGCGTATATTGAAAATTAACGCTTTATGTAGATGCGTTGTTAGGCCGTAGTTGTGAGGAAGTCTTCATGAGTACCGACGTACAAGTGAGGAAGTGGATAAATAGTTATTGAATAATGTTAGGTCCTGTTGTGGCAAGAACAATTTTTCTAGAAGCATTTTTCTAGCTCTTAAAAATGTAAATTTCTAAAAAAAACAGGTTATTCTATCAAAAAAATGATTACCAATTAAATGATTACCAATATCTTACATGTTATCTCCAACGCAAAAACAACTCCAATGTAAAACTGTACCCTGGATTCTCGGAATGTTAAAGTGTTATTTGGTAGAATGAATTAAGTATTGTCATTTAATTCTTTTTTATTTTAAATTGTAATTTAGTAGCATTAGAAAAAGTTGTAGATCTAACTTTTCTGTTAAATATAACATTAAATATGACTAAATAGACGATTATTATTTCGGCCATGACTGACAAGGATCTCTTGAAGGTTGGTTGGTAACAAACAAACTTAAAAAAATGTTTAGATAGAAAACTGGAATATTCTATTAGTATACACTAGCTTAAATATTTATATTGTATCACTAAGTAGAATTTTATCATACTTTAACACATAATTAATTTACTTATTTTCAGTTTTAATAATGAAAAATCATTGAGAAGTAAAATTAGGCTTCTTAACTTAAAATGTATGTTTTTTGCCTTTACTTATATATATATATGTATATATATATATATATATATATAGGGTTACTGGGTAAGTCGCCCTAACTACTTTAAAGGTTTCTAGTTGCCATCATTTCTGATAGATTTCACTATGAAATACACTACTACTAAAATAAATAGACTAAAACATAAATAGTTTTGTAAAAACAGTTTTTTCTTTGACAAATATGATAAAAAAATCTAAGACAGTTAAACTGTAGATTAGTTAAAAAACATGTACATATTCTCAGCTATCTAACAAGATATAATAGTCTAGGATAGTATCAGAAATTTAAAAAAAAACTAAGATAAAAGACCGGGGGTGTTAATAATTAGCGTACAACCTACTAGTTGAAAACTTGGCTTGTATTTTTGGACTGTTTCGTGTGAATGAATGTTCACAGAAAATAATTTGTTATGAAGACATTACTTCCTGGCTGGAATAAAACTGTACTACAAGTTTAACCCTTCACTGGCGATATATATAGCTTTAGTGTATCGTG